AAAAAAAAAAAAATTAAAAAGTTGGTGTGATACCAGGAGGCGTCTCAACATGACGCCCTCTGAGGAGAAGCTGTTTCCTCTTTGTGCAGAGTAGTTGAGCTTTTCTTAAGCTCAGTAAACAGATAATAAAAAGCAGCCAGTAGTTGATAAATCATGTCTATAACAAACTAATCAAATACCACGAGGCTTTTCCCTCTGTTGTGTGACTCTAGAAATGTTCTCAAATACACACGTGGTGTATGTGATGAATTACTTTTTTCGAATTTAAACCTTTTTTCTGATTATTTTCTCAATCAGTTAATTGTTTGGGTAATAAAGCGCCAGAAAAAAGTGAAAATGACCTTTTATAATTTCCAGTGGCTCCGGGTGACATCTATTAAGTTCTTGTTTTGAAGTCCACTTTACAATGACACACTACAGAGAAAAATGGATTCATTCTTTTTCTTGTAAAAACAAATGGAAACGATACAGTTGAACAGGGATCTTCTTGTTAAATGGACAAATGGTTTCTGTGAATTAGTTCTGCTCGGCACCGACAGTTAAACGCTGTAATCAAAGTGTCTCTTTGAAAGAATTTTTTTCCACAATGCAGAAAGTTGTTTTGTGTTAAACGAGGGGAACTCCGATGATTTCACATATCGAAGTTTGTTTTCGGGTCACTGAGAGTTCGGGCTGATACATGAAAGTATCAGGATCTGCAGAGGAAGCTGCAGGATTCCGATTAATGACGTGATGATGCTCTATGGAATAAAAAAAAAAAGAAGAGTATAGAGTGTTGTCTCTGGTTTTTCAGCCAAGTTGAATTTTGACCCTTTTTCAAACTGTGCACAATGACAGTGAATCCATGCAGCACTTCTGAAATCATGTCTTGATGCTTGTTTCTTTTTTTTGTTCAGGTGGAGTGTATGGAGGAAGCTCTCCAGCGCTCACAGGACCACAGTCACTCCCCTGACCTGAAGGTCTCCATATTGCTGGACTACACCCGCGGATCACGAGGTTTGCCCCCCCCCCCCCACTAGGTCTTTTTCAGCACAGAGCGCCGCTGACACCGTCCTGATGGTGTCTTGTGTTTGAACATGCAGGGCAGATCAACTCGAGGACCATGCTGCTGCCGCTGCTGCAGCGCTTCACCTCTCAGATGCGCGTCTCTCTGTACCACACGCCGGACCTGAGGGGGCTGCTGCGGCTGCTCGTCCCCCAGCGCTTCAACGAGACCATCGGCGTCCAGCACATCAAAGTGTACCTGTTCGACGACAGCATCATCATCAGCGGGTATGTCGACTTCCTGGACGAGGAGAGTTCACCTAAGTTTAGTTCTCCCTCTTCCTCCTCACCCGCTTTCTCCTTTGTTTAATCTTTCTCTGCCCCATTGTACACTTACTCAATCAAAGCAAAGGTGTTACCCGTCGTTTCTGGGAAGTGTTCTCCGCACACATTTGAACTTATACCAAGAAAATGGAGAACGGTGGGTGTGCTCAGGGCCTGTTTTGTGTTCATCTGTGCTTTCCACTTCATTTCACCTCAGGACACAAAATGGGACACGCTGTTCACAGTGACGAGTCGACATAAACACTGTTACACATTTCAGGTGATAGATACAACCATTAGAGCATAAGAGAAATTCCACTTCAGCTTGTCACATCAGTCAGTCATGTGGAAATGTGCTCTTGGCTTCTTGACAGATTATTGGATTCACAACCTGTTTCTGTTGTACAAACAAAGGGCGGAGTTGCTTTTGATTCATTTTCACTTTTCACACAGGATCCTTCAGACACTTGTGAAGTTGAGACCTGAACAATAGACTTTTATGGCTGACTAACTCTCAAACACACTCCAAAGGGAAGACACTAAATAGCATAGAGACAAATCATAATGCAGCATTCCTCGTAGGAGCTGAAAGTTTCATTCATTCATTCAAAAAAAAAGAATCCTGATTGTTTTGCTGTGAAAATCACAAGTGTATATGTTGAGCTGATCTGACATGCAAAGGACGTGTGAAAAGACAGTTCCACTATGTTCCGGATATGTAACCTGGCTCCTTGGTTCTTCAACAAAAATAACCTGTTGTGATTAAAGTTGAATTCCTTGTCAATAAGATGGCTCGTACATCTTCAGTTTACACACAACAAGAAGTGTTAACACAACATCTACACTTTGAGCAGCTGATCCAGGACAGGGATCCAAGGTCAAACTTGCCAATGGGTCCATGTTTGCAAGACTAAAGGGAAGATGAGCAAAAAAAATATCCTTTCGCATCTATCAGACATTTATTTCTTTTTTTCCCCAGCTGGAGTTTATAGTTACACTTCAGATAAACCTGGTTATGCTCCTTGTTTTCTTAAAATCCGTCCCCCTCCCTCATTTTTCAGGGCCAACCTGAGTGACTCGTACTTCACCAACAGACAGGACCGCTACGTGCTGCTGGAGAACTGCAGGGAGGTCGCTGACTTCTTCTCCGACCTGGTGGAGGCCGTGGGGGACGTTTCCCTGCAACTGCGGCCCGACGACTCAGTCACCATGCTGGAGGGCATGGTGCACCCGTACAAAGGTAAGAAATCGAACGTGTGTGTGCCCACAGACGAATGTTTACCCCCTAACATGTTTTGACACCTCATGTTCAGTTAGGGTGGCAGGGTTCCGATTTTTAACTATAGAGGAGACGAAGGATTTTGCTAATGGAGCTTGAAAGCTTAGACAGGCGAATAAATGATGGTTGGACTGTGCGTGTGTGCGTGCGTGCTGTGTGCAGTTAGATAGCTGTAGAGAGCTCTTGCGGTTGGCTAGCCATGCAGCCGGATGTGAAATTGTCAGGATTTTCTCTGTATACACACACACAAACACACACTCGAGCTCGTACAGTGTGTCCGTAACTCGAGCGCGGACTGCCAGGATGTTAGTTTGAGGGATGAATGACATCATGTCTGCAGGACTGCACCGCCGTGGTAACAAACACCAGGAATAGAGTTGTGATGTCAGTGTGTTGCTGGAAGACGATACGTAGTGGGAACTGCAACACACACACACACGCACACACAAACACACTAGTAAAATTAATGAAATGTAATTTGTAAGGACAGAAATATAACGAGTGAGTGGCAGTTAAACCCATTTAATGGTTTCTGTGTCCCCTCGTAGGAACGTGCACGTGCGTCTGTACATACTTGGGTTGTGCTACACCCACTTACCCATAACCCAGAGTGCACTGTGACCCAGTGAACAGTTTGTCCCAGTCCCACTCCCACTTATCTCTGTCTGTGTGTAAACTAATTTCGTTCTTTTTATATCCCCACGGCAACCAGACAACAGACAGGATTTCTCAGCGGCAGCGAGGGCACGCATCATGGAGGTCATGAACACGGCACACACGAAGCAGCGGCTCCTGAACCGGTCAGAGGACTCCGAGGACGAGGGGATGAGCGAGGGGGAGGAGGACACGTGGGTGTTCCCTCTGGTGCAGATGAAACCTCTGGGCATCCAGGTGGACGAGCAGGTCACACAGGTGAAGCACCCGACGACCTCTTCTCATTGGCCGAGTCATAAACACGTGTTTTGCTGCTGAACACTGATAAAGCTTTGCTGAAGTTGACCTTTCACCATGTTTTTCTTAACTAGTCATAAACATCATGTTTTGAACGTGACCAATTATTTTATTCAAGGTTTATTAGTCACATATCCTGGAAATGAGCACAATGAGCTCTGGTGCAGTAAAGTACCCATGCACTGTTAATGTTTAACATTTACAATTTGGCATCTGGATTTTCTTACTTGATTCAAAAATATGATGTGATTTTCAACTTCACTTTTAAGTTGTAAAGTTTTTAAAGTCATAATTATTTTTGGTACAGCGATAAACTGTAAATCACTTGTTTTAATAATGACAGTAATAACCAATCGTTTCCACATTTTTCAATACAAATAACAACAGTGATAGAATAATAAACACAAATTTTGATCTCTGATCAACCTAAATTGTTTAATTTGCAATAATCGGTTTGAATAAAAAATGGTAACAGGAACAGTGACTTATAAAATGTCCTAATGTGTTAAACAGGATGTTATTAAATCAACAAATCATCCTGATAATAGATATTAGACCATATGGTCCATAAGCTCTATAATGACTTTGTGTGTTCAGCTGTAATTAAACATTAACAGCCATCTCTTTGCCGCAGTTGATTTCATATCAGTTCTGTTTTCACAATGTCAGGAACTAGAAACACGCCTGTAACTTCCACTTCCTGTCTCTCTCCGAACCTCCAGCGTTTGCTGACAGACGCGGGGCCGGACTCCACCGTTTTCCTAACGTCGGGCTACTTCAACCTGACGCGGGCGTACATGCGGCTGGTGCTCGGAGCCGGGACCAACTATCGCATCCTAACCGCCTCCCCCGAGGTTAACGGCTTCTTTGGGGCCAAGGGCGTCGCCGGAGCGATCCCCGCCGCGTACGTCCACATCGCCAGGCAGTTTTACAACCAGGTGTGCCAGCTGGGCCAACAGGAGAGGGTTCACCTGCACGAGTACCACAGGCCTCAGTGGACGTTCCACGCCAAAGGTGGGATGAAACAACAGTGCACATATTACACCTGCTGAGATCAACAGTCAGATGATGATCAGATCAGATCTGTCGATTACTTTTCAATTTATGGTTTAGTTTAGAAAATGTCAGAAATTATAGTGTCACAGAAACCAGAGGAACATCCTCTAATCTCGTCTGATCAGCAGTTTAAAACCCAAACGTTATTCAATTTATAATGGATTTCTTTTAAAAAAGGGAAAAAACCTGTTTGGCATCAATATTTGTAAAACGTACGGATTGTTCTCTTTGTTTCCAAATGCATCTAAATACAATTGTATCCTCTTACAGATCTTTTTTATAAAACTTTCGATTATCCAACACTTCATGCTTCTTAAGAAATGTGTTTGTTTGGCTCAGTAAAAATAATCAAAGCACGTTACTCTCACTGTTGGTCTCCCTGCTCTGCTGTTCTTCTTGTGGTCACGGCGGTATGTAGCGTGAGAGAGGGCGGCTCGTACAGTCATTCTGTCGTAGCCTCAGGACCAGGATGTACACTCTCTCATACTTTGAGGTTTTGGATCGACACAGGGGATTTCTGCATGTGCTTCCTTTTAGTTGTGGTTAGGGCCCCGACAGAAATCCCTGCTGGAAGCGGCTCACTAAAGAATTTACCTCACTGCCCTTTTCCTCTCCTGCAGGTCTGTGGTATTACCTCCAGGGGCAGGATCGGCCCTGCCTCACTCTAATTGGCTCCCCCAATTTCGGTTACCGCTCAGTTCACCGTGACCTGGAGGCCCAAATCGCCATAGTAACAGAGAATGAGGAGCTGCAGAGCCAGCTGCAGGAGGTTGGACATTTCAGTTTTTTTGTGTGTGTCTCCAACCGCAGTGAGAAACGATGATGACGAATGAGTGAGTAAATCTTTACTGAGCACACACCTGTGTATTAATCTCTCAGGAGCAGGAGACGTTGTATCAGCGCTCCAGCGAGGTGTCCAGCTCCACGTTCGAGCGGCCGGACCGCCACGTCAAGCTGTGGGTGAAACTCGTCACCCCCCTCATCAAGAATTTCTTCTGAGACGCCATCAGGTGCAAACACACACACAGACACATGCATACTCACTTAACATGAAAAAAAATCTGATTCGTTTATTTCCTGTTTAATTTATTAATTTGAGTTTTTAATATTTCAGAATATTG